TGACCAACCAAGCAGCCCTACGACAGCCGCGCAAGCGTGCTGAGCAGCTCCTCCACCTTCCACCCCCGCACTGCGCAAGCGCATGGACCCTCCCCGATCTCCACCCTCTCTCCCACCTACCCAGCCAATGACAAGCACACGTGACCCCGCCCCTTTCCAGTCCCGAGCGCTTCCAACCAGTTGGCTGTGCGCAGGCGCACCGGGTTTTTTTGTTTTTTTTTTCAATCCCTTCAACCTCCTCTCCCCTCCCCTTGATCGACAGCTCGCGCTGCCGGACAGCCCTTGCAGCTGCGCAATACAGAAGCCCGCACTCCACACCCTCCCAAGGAAACGCCTGGGTCTCAACGCATGCGTGTTGGGAATCCTGACCGCCCCTTCCACCTCGGACGTCGTCCGTACGCTGGGTGTTGAAAAGACCACGCCACGGCGCCGCTGGCCGCGTCAAGGACGCATGCGTCTGAGCAGGCGCCCCACCTCGGCTTTAACTGTAGATGAAGCAAGCGGCTCCCAAACGCGGTGTGCTGCGCGGTTCCTAGTCGCTGTCTCAGCTCTGCACGTGCCCGAGGGACTGCCTTCCGTGGGGGACTTCCTCTCCCGTTCGTGTGGTCGGGTTACTAGCGCCTCGGCTTCGCTAAACTTGACTCCTCGTGTAGACTGTGGTTTCTTAAAGCCAGACCTATCCACCATCTTGTTTAAGCCCCGGTTAGTGTTGGTCCCTATGGCCCTTACAGAAGCTTTTCCATTCTAAATCCTAAATAAAGAGTTACTTAGCGTTCCTGTTTGCTAACCCGGTGGGATTGAGGTTTCGGAAAAAATGTCTAATGTTTCCCGAGAAATCAAACTCCAGGGGCTGGAGAGATGGTTCAGCAGTTGAGAGCCCTAGCTGCTCTTCCACAGGACCCAGGTTCAGTTCCCAGCTAACAACTGTCTAACTCCAGACGTAACATGCAGGCAAAACACCAATGCACATAAGATAAAAATAAATTTTAAAAAGAAATCAAACTCCATATGAGAAGTCTGGCTCTGGCCCAGGAGGCACAGCCCTGTAGCGCCAGATGGTTGGGAGGTTGAGGCAGGAGACTTGAAGTTTAAAGACGGCATGTAAAATTGGTCATGGAAGTTTATGATGCCTGTATTCTGTAAATTTGGGAGACTGAAGCCGGAAAACTGAAAACAAAAATGTTAAGCTGCTATGACATTTTTTAAATCCCTAAAGATAAAAACAAGCTATCAGAATTTTGGCCCTTTGCAGTCCTCTTACAACAATTGACAATGCTGGGCCTGGGGTGGTGGTACATGCCCGTAAGCCCAAGATCCGCAGGTGGATCTCAGTGAATTCAAGGCCAACCTGGTCTACACATTGAGTTCCAAGGTACTACAGATCCACAGCATGGTGGATAACAGGACATGACACTTGGGAGGACAGGCTGGAAGATTGCTGAGAGTTCAATGCCAATCTAGTCTGCATAGCCCCAGGCCATCCACAACAAAGCAGCCCCACAGTGGTGGGGTGCATGCCTTTAGTCCTAGCACTCAGGAGGCAGGTGGATCTCTGTGAGTTCGAGACCTGGTCTACAAGAACTAGTTCCAGGACAGCCTCCAAAGCCACAGAGAAACCCTGCCTCGAACCCGCCCCTCCCCACCAAAAAAAACAAAAAACAGCCCAGGCGGTGGTGGCACGCCTTTAATCCCATTTGGAAGGCAGAGGCAGGTGGATTTCAGTGAGTTTGAGGCCATCTTGGTCCATAAAGTGGACTGGACTGTTACACAGAGAAACACTGTCTTGAAAAAACAAAAATGAAAAACAAAAAACCCAACAACAAAACAAAAAACCTGATCTAGGAATCCAGACTCTTAAACTTCCTTCCAGTTAGGTTTCAAACCTGGGGTGCATGGCTGAGGTGCATATTTAACATATTGAAGTAATGCCTAGGGCCAGGTTCTCCCATGTCCCTCAGTCTGGGGCCCTCTTGGCTGGCATACCCCATCCCCTTACCCTAAATGTTTCCAGCCTATGTAATCCAACCATGGTTACCTGGTCCTTTAGATTTATTCTTTTGGGCCTCCTGGCTGCTGCACCTGGTTCAGCCTCTCTCTCTCTCCTTCCTCCCCCTTCCCCAGTTTCCTCACAGGGATCAAGGTCAGGCCTACTCTGGACTCTTCCAGACATCTCTGGCTATGCTCTCCCACAAACCTGTAATAAACTTTCTCCTCCAGTAGGACCAGACATGCTCCTTTCCTTCTTTTTCTTATTCATTTCCCACTAAATAAGAGTATTAGTAGTTTTTTAACTTCCAACTCTCCAGGATGTTTATCAACTCCAAACACTAGTTTGAATATTTTTATTTGCATAGCACAGTAGACCATCCATTCACCTTAGATCCTTCCATCTATTTCTTGAACTTCCTATCTTTTTCTGTGTAATCCCAGCACTGAGGAAATTGAGATAAATGTCTACATAGTAAGATCCTACCTTTAAAAAAATAAACTGAACGTGGTGGTGCATGCCTCTAGTCCCAGCACTTTGAGTTCAAGGGCAGCCTGATCTACAGAGCCAGTTCCAGAACAGCCAGGGCTACACTTTCTCAAAAAACAGAATAAAAATAAAGAATACCTCTTGGATGCATTGTTAAAAGTATTTAAAATTCCAATTCCTAGCCTGGCACAGTGCTACCCCACCTGTGGTCCCGGCACATGGGGGTGGGGTGGAGGCAGACGGAGGAGAATCCGGAATGTAAGGTCATTCTCAGGGTGTGGTAATATATGCCTACAATCCCATCTCCTGGCTACAACAGGAAGATTACCAGCCTGTGCTACACAGTAAAATCCTGTTTTTCCATCCCAATACTGAAAAGGAAAGGATACTGGATACATGTTACTACATGAATGAACTGGGAAAGCAGAGTGGTATGAGGTTTGGGACTAGCAGTGTTTCCTCAGGGTTAGTGACTAGAATTAATAAGGGCCTAAATTTGATCATGAGCACAGTCCACAGAAACAAAATATATTAGTAGTTGCCTGATGCTAAGGGATTTGGGGAGACGGGGAGTGGGCTGTTAGTGATTATAAAGGGGAAAGAGGTGGGCAGAATCTTTTGGGGGATTATGAGAAACAACCTAAAATTAAGCAATAGTTGCATACTTCTTCAGATATTAAAAAACCAACTTTGATGGGCTAGAGAGATGGCTCAGAGGTTAAGAGCACTGGCTGCTCTTCCAGAGGTCCTGAGTTCAAGTCCCAGCAACCACATAGTGACTCACAACCATCCGTTATGAGATCTGGTGCCCTCTTCTGGTATGCAGATATACATGGAAGCAGAATGTTGTATACATAATAAATAAATAAAAAACAATAACTTTGAACTGTACTTACTAATTTATTTGATGGTACCAGGGATTGAATCTAGGGCCTGTGAATACTCATTAAGGAATTTCCACTGTGCAATATTCCTTACCAGTTTTTTATTTTTTTGTTTTGTTTTTGTTTTTTGTTTTTCGTGTAGCTTTGAAACCTATCCTGGCACTCGCTCTGTAGACCAGGCTGGCCTCAAATTCACAGAGATCCACCTGCCTCTGCCTACAGAGTTCTGGGATTAAAGGTGTGCGCCACCAATGCCCGGCCTTGTTTTTGTTTTTTGTTTTTTTAACATAATGAAAATAGATTTACTAAAGGAAGGAAAGGACCTCTGAGGATAGGAGGGACCCTAACAGAATGCCAAACCCCACCCCCAGACATGGTCTCAGTATGTAGCCCTGGCTGTCCTGGAACTCATTATGTAGACGAGGCTGACTTAGAACTCACAGACATTATCCTGCCTCTGCCTCCAACTACTGAGATCAAAGGTCTGCACCACCACACTGGGTTCTCCAGTTTTTACAGAAAGGGCCTTATGTAGTTCATTCCGTCCCTAAACTTACTATGTGGCTGAGTGGTGCTATGAAAGGCATGTACCACTTTGATGCCTGTTTGCTTTTTGTATTTTATTTTTTTAAAGATTTTATTTATTATGTATACAACATTCTGCATCCATGTATATCTAGATGCACACCAGAAGAGGGCACCATGTCTCATTATAGATGGTTGTGAGCCACCATGTGGTTGCTGGGAATTAAACTCAGGACCTCTGGAAGAGCATTGTGCTCTTAACCTCTGAGCCATCTCTCCAGCCCACTTTGTGTATTTTAAATTGGACTTTAATGTATTGTACTTTAAAATTATTGTATATACACAAGAGGTGTCTTAACTTTTTGGCTTCTTTAGATTACAATGAACAAATAATAGTTGACATTTGTTAAGTACAGAATCAATCATTAATGAAAGCTGACAAGCCAGGAGGTGGTGGAACAAAATTTTAATCCTAGCACTTGGGGACTCGGGAGGCAAAAGCAAGCAGATCTCTATGACTTCTGTGTTAGCATGACATACAGAACAAGTTCCAGGACAGTCAGGGCTGTAAGAAAGAGAAACCCTGTTTCAAAAACAAAAAAGCCAACAAACAAAAAAAAAGCCATCTTACAGGTCCCATGTTTGCTAACACTAATAAAATGAGCATTTTATTTTTAGATTTTATTTATTTATTTATTATGTATACAACATTCTGCTTCCATGTATATCTGCACACCAGAAGAGGGCACCAGATCTCATAAAGGATGGTTGTGAGCCACCATGTGGTTGCTGGGAATTGAACTCAGGACCTCTGGAAGAGCAGTCGGTGCTCTTAACCTCTGAGCCATCTCTCCAGCCCCTAAAATGAGCATATTTAAGTAATAAAATTTCAGTGATTAAAAAAGTTTTTTAGGGGCCAGGCATTGTTGGCCCACACCTTTAATCCCAGCACTCGGGAGGCAGAGGCAGGCAGCAATCTCTGTGAGTTCGAGGCCAGCCTGGTTACAGAGCAAGTGCCAGGACAGACTCCAAAGCTAATAATAATTTTTTGGCCAGCAGTGGTGGCACAAGCCTTTGGTCCCAGCACTTGGGAGGCAGAGGCAAGCAGAACTCTGTGAGGCCAAGCTACACAGAGAAACCGTCTCTCAGGGAAAATTTTTTTTTTCTTTTAAAGTAAGTGTGTGTGTGTGTGTGTGTGTGTGTGTGTGTGTGTGTATGTGGACCACATGCATACCTAGTACCCACAGAGGCCAGAAGAGGGTGTCTGATCCCCTGGAGCTGGAGTTAGAGTCAAGGGACCTGAATATCCATCCTACGGACAAGCGGTAAACACTTAAACACTAAACCATCTACCCAGTCCTCATTGGTTTGGTTTGGTTTAGTTTGACACAAGGTCTCACTGTGTAGCTCTGGCTGGCCTGGAACTCCCTATGTAAACCACACAGAGATCTACCTGCCTCTATCTGAATGCTTGGGTTAAAGTTGTGGGACACAATATCTGGCTGTTTTTTTTTGTCTGTTTGTTTTTTAAGATTTATTTTTACTGGGGCTAGAGAAATGTCTTAGCAGTTAAGAGCACTGGCTTCTCTTTCAGAGGACCCAGTTTGAGACCTGGCTTGTACATGGTGGCTCACAACTATGTGTGACTCCCAGGGATGTGTCTTCTTCTTCTGGCTTTTGAAAGTGCATGGCCCACAGATTTATATTTAGG